GATGCCGTTAAAAAGGAAACTGGTGTTGCACCTCATTTGGGAAGGGCATCTGCTCTCTTTGAGGCGGTGCTTTCCTTTGATCCCCGTGACAAAGGGGCGTTGTGCGGCATGGGCCGCGTGAAGATGTTAGGGGTGGAAGCGGCATGCACGGTAGACTTTGCGGATGCCCGCCGCTACTTTGCAACTGTGCTTGGAGGAACGGAAATACTGCCAGGAAACGGGTGGGACCAAAAGGGTAATTGGGACAACGGGATTCTCGCCTTTGAAAATGGGCAATGGGAGTCTCGTGCCGCATACTGGATGGGTGAGATCCACAGATGCAGCTTGGATACAGAGATCGTGTCAAATGAAACAAAAGCGATTTATAAGGATGTGAAGGCGTGGTGGGAGTACGCAGTGAAGCGGTGCCCTCAGAACGATTGGGCACTCACTTCGCTGGGTCTTCTTTACATGGAGCATCATCATCCTCGTCATCACAAAGATGTCGACATGAGTAGGCAGTATGGGCCTGGTGTGGACATTTTGCAGCGTTCATTGGCTATTAATGCACAGAACACATGGACTTTATGGGGTCTAGCGCATCTCGCGCCTGATGTGAAGCAGCGACAAATGTGCCACACTTTGCTTAAGAAACTACTAAGGTGGTGAGATTAGGAGGCTGCTTACGAAGAAATGGATGCCCCTGGCTCAGCCGGCCACCTCAACGTGGTGCCAGGGTCTAGTACTCTTTGCTAGAGAGGAAGCCAAGCGCCTGCTGTTCATGCTTCAAACCCGATGAGTAGTTGTTGCTTAGTTTTACGGGCCGGAAGGGCAGGTGTTGGAGCCATTCTATAGTGGCTGCCCGCGGAGTAAGGTTATCCTTGATACTGAATTCCTTCGTACGCTTACCAGAGCTGCACAATTGAGGTGTAGTTACTCCGACTGGTAAGAGAAGAAAAAAAAGAAAAGAAAAAGAAATGGATGTAAAAACTCGGTACTGTGACTTCTGTTTTTGATGTCTTTTTTTGTCTGCTAGTTTCTCAGTTTCTTCCTTCTTTTTTTGTTTAACCTCTGATGAATTTTGCTTGTCTCTGCCTGAATCTCTGTCAGTTGGCGTGCGTCGCTATTTTTTCTGATTGAATCCTTCTTATTATTTTTCCCCTCTTTTCTTTCTCTTGCGGTTTGCCCTCCACACTGTGATCCTTCAATCCATTGTAATTTGTTTCCACGTGCTCATTTATGCACGGGAAGAGGGGAATTACTGCCCCTGTGGAGTCTTGTGCACCCATTCCAAGGAGACACACGGTAACGACACAAGGAATCAAAAACAACTAGGACAGGCGAATCGAGGTGGAGTGGTATATAGAGTAGCAAGAGAAGGAAGGCGGGAAGAGGCGTCATGTCCGTGAACACGAGTGCAATAGCCGCAGACAGCTCATGCCTTCATGCCTCCTCCTTTACAGAAAGTTCTTACGCTCTTCTCGGTGGGGATGACACTATGCGGAGTCGTACTTTACCACCGCCACCGCTAATGCCGCTGCCGTTTTCGTCGACAAATACAAGTAACGGCGGAATAATGGCAGAGGAGAAGGGAGACTTATACATGGGTAGTCGTCCACCTACACAGCCCTTTTCCGGGGTCGATAGATCATGCGGGTCGCACCATCACGATCCCTCCTTTGCGGTTCACCACCAGGCACAGTCACGCACGATGCCAAATTCGGTGGATCTTGCTGGATACCATGCGAATGCTGGAACGACAGACACCACACCGGTGCGACATGCGGAACTGCGGGAGTTGCTCATAACCACAGAGCGGGAGTTGGCGGAGGTGCGTGAGGAGTGTGCGCGACGAAGCGCGGAAGTGGATGCTCTTCGTGTGGCGCTGGGACGGGAACAAGAGGTAAACCACAACGCCCAGGCGCGGCACGAAGAGTCCATGCGGGAGCTGAGGGAAGAGCATGCCGACCAGACGCAGCGACTGATGGATCAGATCACTCTTCTGAAGCGGCTGTCAGAGGGTTTGATGGAGGAGAAGTCGAGGCTTGCAGAGGACGCATCGCAGAGGAAGCAGCAGCTTCTCGCCTTGCTGGATCGTGAGAGGGAAGAAAAGAGTCAGATCATGGCAGACTACCGGCAGCAAACTGAAGCTCTTATCGCTGACCAGGGTAAGGAAATCACCTCACTTCGAAATACACAACAATCGTTGCGTGAGGAACAAGAGAGAATAATAAGCGAGCGGCAAGAAATAGAAGAAACGAAACGGACGCTGGAAGAGAAAATTTTGCAGCTGGGAGAGAAGATAACGAATGAGCAAATGGAATGTGAAAAGAAGATACAGGAGACGAACCAGCGTCACGCGCGTAAGATGGATGAATTGGTAGCGAAGAACGAAGAGCTTTCGAGACGTCTGGAGGATGATTCCAGCAAACTGCTGGAACGGCGTCAGGAGCTGGAAGACCATGTCCGCAGCCTTGCAGAGCGGCTGCGATGTCAGGAGGAGACACACACGTTAGAGCAGCAGAACCTGAAAGAGACATACAAACGAGAGGTCTCAGAGCTTCGCGAGGAGCTGCAGGCAATGATGAATCAGCGTGAACAGCTGGAAGAAGAACACGAGAAAGACCGACAGAAACTCTTAAAAAATGAAGAGAAACTCATCCAGTCACTACGTCAGGCTGTCGAGGAGGTACGGCAGGAGAAAGAGGCTTTGGCAGAGGAAGCGGCCCGGCAACAGGAAGAGATGCAAGAGAAGCACTGGGCAAAAGTGAACCAGCTGCAGAATACTGCTGAGAGCCTACGACGACAACTCGCGGAGGAGACGGCAGTGCGAAAGGAAGCCGAGTCGGAGCGGGAACTCGTTGCGGTTCGAGCGGATGGTCTGCAAAGTACTGTGAGCCGCTTGACCAATGAGCTGGAGACACTGCAGGTGGAGCACCGCGCCCGAGAACGGGCAGCGGCTCAGGAGCGACAGAACAGTTTGGAGCAGCTGCGTTTGCAGCTTCGCGAGCGTGCCGCGGAGGTTGAGGCGTTGCAGCAGGAGGTTGCACGGCATGAAATGGAGGAGAATAGGCTCCGTGACGAACTGGCCGCAAAGGTGCAGGCGCTGCAGAGCACACGGGCGGAAGGAAAGCGGCTACTGGAAGAAATGCAGCAGGCCGCTGAGGACCGAGAGCGGGAGATGCTGGAGCGGGAGGGAAGGCTTGAGAAGACAATCATGCTTAGTCGGGCCCAGAAAACGCAGGTGGAGGCCGAATGTCAGCGTTTGCAGCGCGCCATCACAGAGTTAGAGGGGCGTCAACGAACTTGCGAGGGGCAGTTGGAGGACGAGCGACGCGCCCTTGAGGAGGCGACGGCGACGGTGCAACAGTCACGTGACGAAGCAGAGGAACAAAAGTCGTTATTCCGTCGGGTACAGACCCGCCAGAATGAACTTGAGGAAGAACTGCGGCGGAAGAGTAACGATCTTGCAAAGGCAGCATCGCGTGTGGAGGAACTTGAGGCGTCGCTTGAGGCGGCCAATAGTGAGGCGGCGCAGCAGTCGAAGGAGGCACTGCGGGCTGCGAAGGTCCATGAGGTGGAGCTGCAATCGTTAATTCAGCGACAACAGGCGGAGGTAACGGCAATGCGACTCGCTGCGGATCAGATACGTGGCGATTTTGCAAAAGCACGCGAGGTGGCTGCGGCGAAGGAAGAGGAGTTACACCGTCTGCGAGAGGAGGTTAACCAACTCCACCGCGATGCGGAGACGCGGGCGGGATCATGGCAAGGTGAGCTGGCGGAATCGAGGGAGTTGCACGAGGAGGACATGCGACGCATGGACGAGGTTCTGTACACGATGCGTGCCGACCTCAGTCGTGCGCAGGCGGCAAAGGCGCAGTGCCAGAAGGACATGGCGCAATTTCAGCGCGAGGCGGAGCGGCAGCGCCTACAGCTTGAGGACATGTTGTCGCAGATGGAGGCGGCGAAGGAGAAGCTGCAGGAGGACGCACGATACCGCGAGCAGCTCAATATCGAGCTGCAGGGCACGGTTAAACTTCTCACTTCACGACTCACTGCACAAGAGGATGACATCCGTCGGATGCAGGAGGAACTGGCTGATGTGAACACCAAACTACATAACGCGCACACGTTTCTTGGACGTAAGGATGCTGCTATTGGGCAATTGACCGCACGACTCCGTGCATACGAGGCGAGAATAGGAGTATCTTTTAAGTGATCCAGAAACGTGCCTATTCTTGTATTATTATTATTATTGATTATCTATCTATCTATATAGATATATGCAGTTTTACCGAACCTTTTTTCAGCAACCCTCTTCTTTTTCTGTATTGTCATGCCTTCTGTGTGCCTGAGAGGAAAAGTAAAAGGGAGACACGATGAAACCGAAGGCTGTCCTTTTCCTTTGACTCTGCGGTTGGTTTCTTTGGATGCCGCTCTCTCACGTGTAGAAAAGAAAAAGAAGATAATGATGCGTTCTGTTTGGTTTACTTATGGGGCGAATGACACCATTGAGACCACTGAATTGTCTGTGTTTGTGTGTGTGCGTGCGGGATGGGCATGCAAGAAAGAAGTGTCTGCAATATTGTGACCACTGCTTCTATCCCTCCACTAATTGTACTGCCTGCCCTTCTTTTTCTCCCTTTTGTCTTGCTGTGTGTGTGTGTGTTTGTAATGACGTGGGCAAATAAAGTTTTGGCGGCCGTTTGAGGAAACGCCGACAAGAAAAAAAAAGGGAAGGAACGAAAACAGCAGCGAAAACACACACACACAAAAAACCGTTTTTGCCGAGGACATCCCACAGCAGCAGAACCGTGCGGACTACTCACCGGTGCCGGCGGGGTGGGGAGGGGTGAAACGCCATCCAAGCGGCAGGGCACAAACGCGTGTTTTCGGTGGGACGGGCAGCTGCTGTGTCACTTTCGACCCATTTTTCATTTAATTTAATTTAATTATTATTATTATTTTTTGAGCGGTGAAGGGAGGTTTTTTTCTCTTCCTTAGTATTACTTTTTTGTTAGATGTCAACAGTAAACCGGCTGCGGTGTCTGGAGAAACTTGGCGAGGGCACGTACGGCGTTGTGTTCAAGGCTGAGGATCTTACCACGGGACAAATCGTTGCGTTCAAGCGCATGATGGTGGGCGGGGAGGACGAGGGCGTTCCTGCCACTGCAATACGTGAAGTGTGCCTTTTGAAGGAACTCAAACACAGCAACATTGTTTCGCTCCACGATGTGCTCTTCGAGCCGCCCAAGATGACACTCATCTTTGAATACTGCGAATATGACCTCAAGAAGTACATGGAGAGAAATGGCAACAAGACGAAGGCCGCTTTGCGATCGGAGGCGCAGCAGGTAATGAGGCAGGTGCTTTTGGCGCTGCGCTACATGCATCATCGCCATGTTGTGCATCGCGACTTGAAACCTGAGAATATATTCATCAATGTTAACCGCGGTGCAAAGGGAACGGGCAATGGTGTGGTAGGGGCTGCTGTAGCGCATGGGCCTGAGAATGAGGGCAGTCGTTCTCAAGGGGCAATAAGTAACGGCGGTGAGAAGAGAGGGTTGGGTGATGGAGGCGTCAATGGCACGGACAGTAGCAACTCCGATGGCAATGATGCCGTGCAGTTAGTTGCGAAGCTGGGAGACTACGGGCTGGCTCGGGTGGAGAACATCCCAGTGAAAAAGTACTCCCATGATGTTGTCTCGCTCTGGTACCGTAGTCCCGATGTGATGATGGGGAGTGCCCTCTACGGCTTTGCTGTGGACATGTGGTCGGTCGGCTGTATCTTTGCCGAGATAGTCACGAGAAAACCGCTGCTGAAGGGTCGTACAGATGTCGAGCAGCTCCTTAAGATATTTCAGCTTCTGGGCACTCCCACGCCAGAGACATGGCCATCCATGCTGAGTTACCCAAAGTGCAAGAAGCTGATCGACGCGGCAACAAAAATTGTGCGTGAGCAAATCGGATCGCTCTCGCAGGATGCCAAGCGAAAAGTACAAACCCAACAACAACAACAACAACAACAACAACAACAACAACAACAACAACAACAACAGCACTCAAATCAGGCCCAGGAGTTGCCGCGACACAAGGAGCATCCATGTGACATCGCGACACGTGGCGATGAGGTTGGCCTGGCGGGGTACCCCGTGCGACCTTTGAATGATGGCAGCACCACAAACGGCAATGGGACGTCGGAGGCCCATAGAAATGGCTACAACTTGCCGTCTGAGTTGTTATTCCATTCCACGTTTGACGACTACGTGGAGACGTCTCGATTCCGAGAAATCGTCGGTGAGGAAGGGGTGGACCTGCTGCGGAGGCTGCTGTGTTATGAGCCATCGTACCGTCTGACGGCTCAAGAGGCGTTGTCACATCCATTCCTGAGTAAAGTAAAGCCGTCGGTGTAAAGTAAAGAGGACACGAGTTCCGAGGCGTCTTGGCGAACGCTGGAGGAACGTGGAATGCGGAGGGGCTTGCTTGCTCGCTCTCTACCTCTTTTTGACATATGAATTAATCATGACACACACTGCGGGGAGCGAGGTCAAGAAAAACAAACGGACAAACAACAATTGGGGGGTGTATACATGAAGTGGGTTCTGACGTACGGCGGTTATTTTGACCACTCTCATGGGTTTGTATGTCGCTGTGTACACCGCACTGTAGGGTCTTCCTTTTCCTTTTTCTTTCTTTCTTTCTTTCTCTTTCTGTTCTCTCACTGTTTTTTTATCATTGCTGACGTTCTCTTTGTGTTTGCGTGTCTCCCTTTTTTTAAAAATTCAGCTTCACCTCCGCAATAAAGGAAAGAAAAGGAAGAAAAAAAAAAAAAACAAGAAAAGAAAGAAAGAAAAGGGAAAATGATTGGCCCCATGTGAAGGGTGGAAAAAAAAGGAACATGAAGGAAAAAAAGGGGCGAAACAGAGTAGTTTGGGTGATGGATGAGGTTGCGTGTTGTTATAATACTATCAAAAAACTGATTAAACTTTTCTCTCTCTTTCTCTCTTTTTTTTTATTTATCTATTTATCTACGTCTATATAAATATATGTATCTACATATATAAATATAAATATAAATATATAAATATATATTACATGTACGTTTTTTTTTTTTTTTTTTTTTTTTTGTTTGATGTTTCTCCGGGTTTGATGGGACGGGGGTTTCATTTTGGGGCATTACGGCTTCCGATAGCACTTCCCTTCTCACCAACTCGAGCATCGCCGTACAAATTCCCTTTCTTTCTCTTTCTCTTTCTCTTTCCCCCCCCTTTTTTTTCTCTCTCTCTCTCTCTGTATATATTATATATACATTTATGTAATTTATATTGTGCTTATTTGTATTTTGTGTTGGTGTTTATATTTCTCAGTTATCATGCGGTAGAAACATCTTTTTTTTTTTTTCTTTTGGTTTTACTGTCGATTGTGGATACATGTACAAATGTGTAACCGTGACAATTTGAATACCTCCCCCTCTCTCTTTTTTTCCTTTTTTATGCCTTTGTGCGTTCGTTGTTGGTTTGGATTCTCCCCCCCCCCCGCCCTTTTTTTTTTTTTTTTACTTCTTTCTTTCTTTGCTTAACCTTTACGGCATGTGCATTGAACCGGTGAGTGTTCCCCTTTTCCATCCCCCGTTTTCTTCCTCCCCACTCCCCAACCAGGGGCCTTTTTTCTTTTGTTTTTGCGTGTGTAGCTTGGCTGCTAGGAGCACGGCGGCCGCCGTGTCGGTGTGCATCCACGTTGAATACCACTCGCTTTTCTCCTCCTCCGCTTTTTTCTTTTCTTCTTCCCCACATCACACTCACATGGGCAGGAACAGCTGTGGTCGTTTTAATAAACGCACGAAACGAAACAAAAACAAAAAAGGGAGGGGACATTTTAGGCTCCTGGCGACGGCTGGACAGTCAGACACGCATTGTAGAGCCAATTGTAAAAAAAAATATAATAGAAATAATAATAATAATAATAATACGGCGGACAGGACCTGCTTGGGGACGATTGACTCCAGTAGGCGAGAACACACCACGGTGGCGGCGGCGGCAGGAGAAGCAGCCTGTTTTGAAAGACACCTAAGCAACACACCAATAAATTTATCAGCGGAAAGAAGTAACGACAAGGGTGTCTGCTTCTCTCTCTCTCTGTTACTGTCGAGTCGAGTCGGCTTTGGGGAACAAAGATATTTTGTCCCTTCAGTGAACAAGAAAAACGGGAGAGACACGAATATTACAAAACCCAGGGACGTGTGAGCGAGACGCGAGGCCAACGCAGGGAGTGAAAGAAAGAGAGAGACAAAGGGAGAAGGAGAAGGAGAAGGAGAAGAAGGAAAACCAACAAAAACGGAACAGGGGTTTAACAACAACCCGAGGGTGCGACGATCAGCGAAGAAAAAAAAAATTGTGGGGAGGGAGGGGGAATAAATGCGTGATTTACGGCATCCAAACCGCCGTGATTGGCGTATGTTGAAGCACCGCTTGCGGATGCGGTGCGGCGGGCACCAGAAGGCTATCACTGTCTTTGTCCTGCTGCTGATTGAGTTACTGGGCTTTTTCACATATTACGGGTACGTGCAGAACTTACGGTACGGGAAGACTGGGCCCCTCGTCGACGGGGATGGGGAGCAAATCGTATTTCTCGGCGAGACGGAGCCACGGGACGCCGCGGCACTCGGTGGTTTGACCACCTCCGTGCAAAAGTACACCGTGGACGAACTAATGGCGAAGTACGGCAGCATGGATTTCATCTACACATTTGTGAATGGCTCGGAGATCAACCACGCCTTTCGCCGCCTCATGTGTATTCGGTGCAGGGACGAAATTAAGGATGCGGAGGCGGCCTTTTATGACCGACGTGAAACCCCGAATAAACCGTGTGTGGGAATGGACATTTTGCCAAGTGCGAAAACGGTCCGTGAGCTCCTGCTCGCGTTTGGCAGTGAGGCCTCCAGGAGACAGTCGGCTCGGGATCGCGAGAGGGATGAATTGCACTACAGCATCCGAAGTGTGGAGCAACACATGCGTTGGCACCGCGGTCGCCTCTTAATTGTCTCCCCCGGTCACAATCCCTATTGGGTGGACGAGGCGAAGAACTTCATGGCGAGCGCCCTCACGTCCAACCGGGGAGAAGGCATGCGAGGCCGACATGCCCGCATCACCACCGTACACCAGGATGTGCTGATGCCGTATGGGTTACGTCTTCCACCGTTGATTCGCATACCATTGAAATGCAGCTGTTTCGTGTGCTCAACATAACGCCCATTCATCTGTTTCTTAACGACGACTATTTTATCAACCGTGACGTGGATATCAGCGACTTACTCAACGAAAATGGCGGCACGTATGTGCGTACGGAGCGTGGCCTATTGCAAAAGGGAATCCGGGCCGAAAGTGGGGGCGCGTGGACTGCCGGGGTGCGACACACGAACCTCTTCAACACGGTGGAGCTCGATATTCACGAGGAGGACTATCTGCCCGAGAATCTCATTAAACACTGGGAGAGCGCTGGATACGATATCCGGCACAAAATTCCTGTTGCGTCAGGGGATAATTTTATTTACACCGCACGTACGAGTCAGCCGGAGAAGCTGCCCCCGAGGGCAACGCCGCGACGGCCGCGTTTTTTTGCCACGCATGCCCCGTTCGTGTACTGTACGAGGATGTTTGAGTTTTTGAACACACGGTATGAGCTGGAGCTTGCCGCGAACACAATGAATAACCGTGGACGAAGTGCGACGGACTTATTCACCCCTTTTGTTTACAACGCCTTCATTATGGCGCGCCCGTGGCAGTCTTCGCCGCGTTTTCTGCCGTATCTTGCCGCATTGCATTTGAGCCGCAAGGACAAAGACAGTGCCGAGCCCACGCCACCGCCGCCCCCTCTGCATGTTGTTTTGGAAAATGGTGACGCGTGTGCTCCAGCCACTTTACTGCGACGTCCGGCTTCAGAGACGATTTATGGGAAGTTTGTTGACAACTTTGAGGGTAATAAACGACTCATTCAGAGACTGCAGCAATCCAACCCGCTTTTCTTCAACATTAACGACGGGTTCGGTGGTGAAAACAGTAGCATGCAATTAAAGGAATTTCTTTCGGGTCTCTTTCCAAAGCCAGTGTACGTTGAACGCAGCGCAACAGGGCCTGCAATTCAAGAGCCGTATAATAAAGCGTTTGAGGGCCTTATGAAACTTCCCTTGGTCATCTTTGCCTCTTACAAGGAGGCCTTCTGTCCACTTCTCCGCAGCCTAAGAGTTGCCATGCCCCAATTTACCGGACCAGTGATATTGGTGCGAAACGACGACAAAGCGAAAGGTAAGGAAAATGACCTCGCGAAAGTAAGACACCGGCTAAATCATAGGGTAATGAACGCCATGCCTGTTGTGATGTGTACTTTTGGCAAGAATGTGATAGAAGTCACAGTGTTACCTGGATCAGAAATTGCTGAGGAAGTGGAAGAAGCACTCCAGGCGGCATTGATTTCTTTCATTCTACCTGTGCGGCTACCAGCGGACTACATTGGCGGCAAAGATGCGCAAGTGACGGCTCTGGTCATTGATGCCCGTACAAGACACCCTCTTGATAGCATCGTAGCTCTCATACATGCCCTCGAAGTACCAGGCCAATCATTAGCGCTCGAGGACTTTGAGATTAAAACTTTCACGGAAACAAAAAGTTCTTTCTTGCTGCTATCACGAGAAGACGCGAAACGGAAGGCAGTCCACTGGGTGCATGGCGCATCTGAAAAAGATCTTTTGCTCACTTTTCCCTTGCCATATGCCTTATATGAAGATCTCGATGCACCAGTCAAGTGGTCCTTTGAGGAATAATGCCTCATATAACAATCCCTGCGTGATACATACATATATATATCTATATTCTGCTTTTAGATATGCATATCGTTCTGCACACATTTACACTACTATGCTTGAATGTATCATTCAATGCAGCACCGCTGCTTCTGTAAGGTTACACTCGACGAAAAGAAGCCAATGACTGCTGGGTTTTTTTTTTTTTTTTTTTTCCTCTCCTTCCTTTTTATTATTATTCTTTTTGACAGCGGACGCGTTTTTTATTTTTATTTTTATTTTTGGGAGTAGACGACGACGAAAACACACAAACAGACGTACATAAGAAAGAAAAAAAGCAGAAGGAAAAAAAAAAAAAAGAAGAAACAAACTTCCTGCGGGTCCACACTTATGTCACGTAAAATCTGTTTGAGAACTTACGCGTACTTTTTATTTGTAAGTTAATTGTCTTGTGCTCGTGTTTTTTTTTTTCTTTTTTCTTTTTTGCCTTTTCCAATCTCTCTCTCTGCTCCCTTCCTCTTGGAGCCACCACATGCATGTGCTTTGGTTGTTTCTGCGTACTCACTGAGGCGGTGTTGGTGGGGGGGGAATAAAAATAAATAAATAAATAAAAATGGAATGGGGTGAGGCGGGGGAATAAATGTTTTGTTAGTGCAGGGAGGGGGAGGGGGGGGCAGTGCAATGAACGAATTCGTGGCATGATGCGGAATAAAGAATGGGGCCGAACACCGCCGTTTTTTTTTTTTGTTGTTTCGTTTCCCTCGTTATTTTTTGCCATTTATTTTTTTTTTATTTTTATTTTTATTACACTTTTCCACCTTCCATCTTCTTGTACCTTTTTTCTCTCCCTTTCTCTGTATGTCTCTGTCTGTGTGATGTTTTTAGGCCGTTTGTTTCCTTCTATCTTTTTGTATATTTTTTTCACTTCAGACGCGGTTGTCGGTACACGCCTGGCGTGTGTGTGTGTGTGTGTGTGTGCTTCACTCCTCCTTGTTTCTCTCCGTCTCGCACATGGGCGTGTGGCCGTCGCGGCATCTGAAGAAGAAGAAGAAATAATTTAAAAGGGGGGAAAAAAAAAGAAAAAAACAAAAAAACAGGATGTCGCAGGAAGAACAGACGGCCCCGGCTGCAAGTGGCGGGAAAGTGACATTTCGTGTTATTCTCACCTCGGAGAGAACGCAGCCATTCCGAGTTATTAGCATCGCCGAGGAGGCGCCCCTTACGGCTGTGCTGCGCTTTGCCGCGGAGGAGTTTGGCATCGCCTCTGTAGACTCCATGGCGGCCACAACGAAGGACGGCACCGGCATCAACCCCGCACAGACGGCAGGGAGCGTCTTTATGAAATATGGACAAGAAATCCGTCTAATTCCACGTGATCGTGTAGGAGCTGCCTGATTTTTTTTTTTTTTTTGTATATATATACATCCTTGTAATTGAAGAGAAATATTTCTGCATTGATATGTGCTTTTCTTTTCTTTTTTTTTTTTGTTTTGGAGGGGCTTTTCTTTCATGTTTTTTGAAATCTCCCGTGCAATATGACGCCATCGCCATTTCCCCCGCAATTAATGCACATAAAAAGACGGCAGGACTGCAGTGCATACATGCATTTGTGTACGTATGTGTGCGCATGTCCATTTCCATTACCAACTCTGTTTGATCAAAATATGCCTTTTTCTTTTTTGGCACAATCGATAGTTATACGTGCATCTTCCCCCCCCAAATAAACAAAAAAAAACTACCAATAAATAATCATATATATATATATATATATAGGGAGCTAGTATGGCGCTCTCCTCTCAGTGGGCCCAGTCTGTTGTTGTGCGGTCAGATGACGGCAAGATTTTCCATCCGAAGCAGGTATCTTCAGCCGCCTACACTTACGCGGCTGTGGGTCGTCCTATCATTGTGCGTCCTCGTGATCCACGCGTCTTCACCGCGACCCCGTCAAGTGATTGGCGGGAATCCGTGGGACTAGAAGGAGAAGAAAAGGGCGGAGGTAATGTGCATGCCGCCGCCGGAGGTGGTGGTCGCGCCTCTTTTTTGTCATCGCTTGTCGCTGCAAATGACGTGGCAGGGACGTTTTGGATTCCCGATCCAAAAAGAAACGAGGTGGGCCTGTTGGAGGCCATACATCGCCGTACGGCGGCTAATCGCACGCATGTATTACTTCACAGCCGGCCCCTGCCGGAACTGCAGTTTAATTTCTCCACATGCCAGGGCGATAACATCGATCTCTCCCACGACGTGTTCCGTCTCTCAAAGACATCCATGGCGCTTCTGCAGATGGAACGCAATTTGGCTGACAGGGAGGAGATCATCGTACGATCGGACGCCGATGCCGGTGGGAATGGAAAATTCGGCCGCATGGATAGCGATGGTCGGAGACACGCACATGCCTCAATCAGTTCTTCGACCAGCATATCCGGCAAAACCTTCAAGGATCAGCTGCGGCACGGTCTGCGCGCTATTCACGAAGAAGAGTATTATCTTGTGCGATACCGCGACTACAGTGCCTGGGGCGTGCGGTATTACGGCGACATTGCAAAGAGGGATCACTTTTGGGGAAAAAAGTATGTGGAACAGTGCTTTGCGGTGCACGTTGGCAAGGAACCAGGGGAATTGATTCCCATTACAGAGGCACAGTTCTTGTTCGGTGTGGAGTTGCTGCAGCGAAAGCTGCTTGAGCAAGTTGGCATAGGTGTCACCATGGATATCAACTACCTGGCACTGAGCAAGGACCAGTTCCGCTCACTAGGAGTTCTTTTGGGTGATGGAATGCGAGACGTGGGCGTCGAAGGCGAAGAACTCCGCCGTCGCCAAGAGGCGGAGAAGGAAGAAGAGGAAAAACGTCGTAGGACAAATTTGCATTCGGATGCGTATGAACCGCCGAGTATGTTGGACTGGAGTCCATCCGCGATAAAGAAGCGCCTTGACCACCAGCTGCGGCGGCAATACCAGGCACTTGGCCGCTTCGTTGTGCGTGGTGCTGTGCTCGGTGTGGGCGTGTACGTGGTGTGGTCGTACGTCAAGCGCGCCCTTCCAAGTGATGCTGGCGGTGTAAACAGTCGGGGCCAACGAAGGAACCGTTTGGGCGGGCGGGATAGCTACCGCGGGGACGACGTCACCTTTGCACCGAAGGGCTTCCTGCGTAGTGTTGTATTGGGCCCGAAGGAGGTGTTCGACTATCTTCTTGCACCCACTCCCGGCAACTGAGTGGGGAGAATGACGCGTGCTGCGACAGGATATGAATGCCCTCTGCGGTGTTGTTGGCTGACGCCATTTCTCCTGCACCTCCTCTTATTGTGGTGGTTGTGCTTCCCCCTGTTTTTTTTTTTTTTTTTTTTCAGTTTCTTCTGTGTGTGTGTGTGTGTGTGTGTCTGTTGGTTCCTTCGTATTTCTACCCTATTTTCTCGATGAACCCCCGTAGATATTATCAGGGGAGGGGGGCGGGGGGCGTTGGTGGAAGCTCCATTACCCATTGAGTGTGCCGGTATGCGAGATTTCCGCCTCGTCGCTTCGTGAAACGTGTGCCGTCACCGCCTCCCGCCCTCCGTCCTTTTTATTTATTTATTTATTTTTTTTATTCATCACGTGCACACTTCCTTGCGGTGGGTGCGTCACCTTCTAAATGTCATGTGTGTTCTGCCGGCGGTGTTGTCAATGTTCCTTTCCGTCTTTTCTTTCACCGGGGGGAAAAAATAAGAAGGAAGGGAAGCCGCCCACAGACGAAAATAACGTCTCATGCGATGGAGCCGTGTGTCACGCCCCGCGTGACTCTCACCCCCATTCCACCCTCCTTGCTCGCCGACACGACCTCCTCGGCAGGGAAGGACGGGGGCGAAGAAGTGGCGAATGCAAACACCGCGATGCCGCCGCTGCATACGGCGCGGCAGCACGACAACAACAACAACAAAAGGAGCGTGAGCGCAAAGGCCCAACGGCGTCAGCCGTGCGTGGATGTGGTGGAGTTGGATGAGCCCTCCGTCTACTGTCCATCGATCGCCACGGATCACGCGGGCCCGCTCACACCGCGGCCCCTCGCCGTGCTGCGGCAGAGCCCAACACACGAGCCGCGGCGCAGGAGAAGTGGCGGGGATCGCGATCGGTTCCAGACGAGAAAAATCACCAGTTGGATGACAACCACCACATCCACCACCGTTTCCCTGCCCTCCGCGACGGTGGCTATTCGAACAGTCCCAAGCCTGCCGCTCGGGTTTTAATGCGTCCGGCTTGCGTGTTGGCCACGGCACGCAGTCACTCGTATGGAATGCACCGCTCGCACCCACCTCCACACGGCAGTGAAGGGATGAGACGGGCGGGTAAATTATTCTCTTCGTCTGCGTGGATTTGTGCCATTGGGAGAGATGCACACTGTATATCATGCAATGTATATATGTATGCAGATGGATGTGGTGTGGATGACGTGCGGGTGTTGTGTTTAGAAGGCAGAAAGGAAGACCCAAAAAATAAATGGGGTGAAAGTTTTTTTTCTTTTTTCTCAATTCACCCATCTTTGCAGTGGTCATCACATTGCATGCATGCTGTTCATTTCTTCCTTTGTGCATCTTTCCTTTTTTTTTCTTTTTCTTCTTCCTCCCTCTCTCTCTTTCCCTCTTTCTGTACGTACGCATGCATGTATTTTTTTTATTGGCATGATGGCTTTGGGTTGGACGACAGATGACTGGAGGGAAGGAATTGATTATTATTATCATTGTTATTATTACCGTGATGCAAATACAACCATAACAGCCCTCTTGCCTACCTCCTCCCCTTTTCTTTCGTTCTTCCCCACAAAAAAAAGAAAAGAGGAAGAGGAGGAGAAGGAAAGAAAAAAAAAAAAAAAAAAGGGAACGACAGTCATAAAGTGAGGATGTGTGGATCTCCCTCCCTGCACGTATATATACATGCATATATGGGGGGAAGGTCGTTACTGTAAAGCATATATATTTTTGTGTTGTTGTTGTTGTTGCCGAGAAGAAGGGATGCCGACATCGGATGGGATGCGTGCACACGGGAGGGGTGTGTGTGTGTGTGTGTGTATTCCACGCCCACACAGATACCACTTGTCTATATATATATGTAAATATTAAGACCGGAACGATTGACGCCGAGATAAAAACAAACAAACAAAAAGAAACAAAAAAAAAAAAAAAAAAAAGAAGGACCGCCTCTATCTCTCTCTATGTGTCTGTTTATCTTTTGTAGAGTGATGCATGGTGGCGGTTTGAACCCCTCCGGTGCATGTCCCCGCCTCTTCATCCGCGTAGAGTCTTTTTTTTCTTTTTTTTTTCCCTTCCTACATGACACGTGCGTTTTATTGCCATCAATCGTTTCGTGTTGTAATATTCCCCCTGCCACTCTGCATGCATAAACGCACACTGACTGACTGACTGGCGAAGACGCAGACATTTCCTATGAGTACGGCGTTATTTATTTATTTATTTTCTCTTTGTTCTTCTTCTTCTTGTGTGTTTGTGTGTGTAGCGATTCCTTTGCCATTGGGGCACGTGTCATCTGCGGGGCATATATATTTTTTTTAAGTAGTGGAGCCGATAGAGAAGCAAACAAACAAACAAACAAAAAAGGAAATATTTCAACGGGGAATTAAACGAAAAAAGGGGAAGGGAAGGGGGATAAAAAAAAAAAAAAAGGGAAAAGAAGGAGCCGGGGCGGGGCGGTGCAACGCGCAGTCATACGTGTAATACATAGAAACATCCATACGTATTATGCGTGTGTATTACAACCGGTAACAGTTTTAAGAGGAAAGGTACACAATCCACCAAACAAACAAAGGAAAAGAGAAAGGAAAGAGAGAGAAAAAAAAAAAAAAAGAAGCGAAGTGGAGGGAAAGGAAGAAAAGATCCATCTAAAGAAACATTTGTATATATCCACCCTTCCGTTTTGTGTTTGCGCATACATTATTTAGGGAACGTGGGTGGAGAGTGGGAAAAAGACATGGCGAAAAAAAGGGATTCAGAAATCATGACGTCGAAGGGGAAAAAAAAAGACAACGACGGTGTGAAAGGGCCGGGAATGCCGCCCCAGGATGCGGCTGGGAAGCACCACCCGCCGCGTCGCTTTCCGCGGGTAGACGCCATGGAGTTGGAGGCGCCCGTGGCACTTGTCAACTTCCCTCGTGCTCGCCAGCGAGGCGTTGGTGGCGGTGAGGCGCCTCTGGACGTCATCGAGCGCGGCAATCGGCCAGGCGTGCCGTTCGATCAGTGCAGCCTTTCGACGGTTGGCGGCAACGGCGACGTGTCGTTGCATCGCCGCCGTAAAAAGTATACCACGACAACCGTCACCACGACTACCATCACAAAAATCCTTTTGCCACACATGCAGCAGGCGGTCGTCTTTGAAGGCGCGGAAGGCGATGCAAAACACTCCGCGCTGGATCCACAGGCCGTTCTCATGGCTATTGAAGGGAACAAGAAGACGCCGGGGCAAAATCCAAATGAAACGCAATCAACAGAAGGGGCCAAATTATGCAACGGCACCGGCCACATTAGGGAGCAAGGCCCGCCATCATACGGGGATGAGCCGCCGGCATCGAGGCCCATTCACGCCATGCGCATGCACCGTTCATCGCAAAGTCCTTCACTTCAAGGCAATAACTGTATCAGCAGCAGCAGCAACAGCAGCAAAAAAAACAACAATGGCGAGATCAAAAAAATCATTCTCCCCAAAATTGAGTCCTTTAGAGCCCATCAATGTGTGCCTGCAAACTTGGCACCGCATGGGAATGCCTCATCTAAGAATTTGCAGAGTACGAAAGGGTACGCGGCGGTGCCGCAGCAGCCATGGATATGCAGTCAAAATACGGTTGGTAATACGACCGTGACCCATCATCAATCATCCGCACTTCGGACGCCACAGGCTGGGAGCCGCCATGGGCCCAGTTATGGCGGCACAGCGCGGGAATCAGCGGAACAGTCAATACCCAATAACGATGGATGTTTTCCGTTGCCGCAGCATTTGCCCCGGCCGCGGTCTGGCGCACCCCACGCGCAAATCGACGGGCAACCGCCGGGTCACGGTGTCTCGGCGCCGTGGATATTAAACGAGGTGAGGCAGGAAAATGGGTGGCACTCGGCGGGGTAAGAAGCAATTTTTGGGGTTCGCGGGTTACCGTTCATTCGCCTCGCGATTGTGATGCATTGTGTGTTTTTTTTTTTTTTGGGGGGGGGGGGGTGGTGTTGGGAACGGCGCGAAAAAAATACATCATGTTTCGGCTTCCCTTTTCGTCTTTACGGAGGAGAAAAGCAGGTCGAAGAAACCTCATCCTGTCTTTTTTGTTTTTTTCGACCACTCGCACTTTTATTTCTTTTTTCCTTGGTGCTTTGGCGGGCTTGCGCGGCTGCTCCGCGGGAAAATAGGAAAAAAAGTCGGAAGCGTGCGGGCGCACACTCACACGGAGAGATGCCTCGTCCCAAAATCGGTTCGCCACGGGCGGTCCTTTTTTTTGCCGCCTTTTCGGACACGCCGGGCAGCCCGCATTTTAGCGACGCGCGGGCCCTTACACCTTACGTTGCTGTGCCGTGCCCCAGCAAGACGCGGCTGGTCCGGGCGCTGGTTTTGATGCCGTCAGCCCCGCGCCAACAACGACGACCCCGTGGGGGAAACATTGCTGGCTCCTGGCTTCCCCCGACAATACGGAGCAATTGACCCTGGCACCGCGCTGAGGCGGCCGGAGGGAAAATTCCGAAAGGAAATAACAACGGGTTTGGCGGGGGTGCCAGGAAATGAATGCAAATAAGAAGGGAAAAAAATGTATATGCGAGCAATGAGAGTCATTTAAATGCAAAACGAAGGTTCAAAAACAAGGATCATACTTTGGTCGTTGACCCGCCACAACGGGGTGGATGAAGAGGGCAATGGACGTGTACTGCGTGTGCGCTTGAAGCTGTTAGAGGCCTCTATTTTTGTTATTTTATTTGGCTTGGGTCTCTTTGGTGTGTCCTTTGTTGCTCATCTGTGGCCGTAAACTGAGTTATGTGATTGTGGTTGAGCGGGTGTTGTGCGCAAGTGGAATGGGCGGTCTTTTCGCACCGCGGCAGCACGTGATGAGCAGCTTCTTATGTATTTAACTTGGGAAATCTGAGTGTGCCACTGAAGAGCCAACGGAGGAATCGTTAGATAGTGACGCTGATGCCGCCCAGCCCAACAACCTCCACGAGAGCGTGCCCGCCATCCGCACCCGCAGCAACAAAATACAAGGGTGAAGGGCATGCCAGCACACAGCCACAAGAGGAGTTCGACGGCTGGGCCACAGCCGGGGCGGTGGGTGGCGTCCCGAACTCACAAACGGAGCACCGCGCGCACCGTCCGCTCCCCTCCGAGTGCGCTCAGCAGGCCGGCGCCCAGTCACCCTCGTGCCATCGCAGAGGGGAGCACAAACAATCGTCGTCGCGGACCATCGGTGCCTCTAGCAGGGAAGAAAGCAGAAGAAATGGGGAAATGCCATAAGCACAGCCGACAGCGGCGGGAAACGGGACAAGAAGACACAAAGTAACAGTCAACACGGCAGGGACAAAAACATATCCGCAGGGAATTACCAAAAAAACAGGAAAAAAATGAAACGAAAAAAAGGGTGAGACTTCTGCAGGACTCACGGAAAGAAAAAAAAGAAAAAAAGAGAAAATTGATTCGGCAGGAATTGCATGTGCCATGCGGCCAAAGACGATCGGGTGCGCACACATATTACCTGCACAAACGAAAAATGTAATAATAATAAAGGGATCGCAGTATTCCACTACCCCACACAACATTTCCCACATTTCATGCGGCATCCGGCCTCTTCCTCCAATCCTCGTTCGTGCAGTCCGTGGGACGCGCAGCAGTGAGGCCGGCACCGCGTGTGGGCAACAGAAGCAAGCAAGGAAAAAAAGAAAACACACACACAGTACGAGCCGTCCACGCAAGGACATGCACGACTAATCCTAATCACCGCACAGCAGCACAGACAAGGGCGGTGACGAGCAGCAGCGGCAGCAGAGGCGTGCGCACCCACACAGTGGTGGTGTCGCTGCTGTCAGCACCGCCGGGGCCCTGCATCGCAGTGGCGGTACCGTTTGTGCCTCCGTCTGTGATCGGTTGGGGCGCATTATCATTGTGGGAAGTTTCTTGGGCTGCGTCGTCGCTGGATGGAGAAGAGGGCGAATGACTGGAAGCTTCGGGTGCTGATGCCACGTGTTGGTTCGCGTCACCAGTGGGTGGCGTTGCGTCCTGCAAGTTCCCCGGTGTTTCTCCTCCTCCGTGAACTCCTTTAGTCACGACACTCTCGTCGTCACGTTGCCGGCTTTGAATTGCCCCTTCTGTGGATGTCAGCGGGCTGGCGGTGACGGTTTCGCTCGTCGTTGGATCAGGGCGGCGTTTGGCTGTTGGGTCAGGCAATTTATTCCTTGGTGCCTCAGCTGAGTCCCCCGGCGAACCTTCGGCGCCGCTCTCTGCCTGGCGAACACCGTCTGCTGAGACCGCTGGTGCTGTTGAGGCCACCGGGGGTGCTGCTCCAGCCAGGTGTTGCGCACCCCCAGCGGTCACCCTATCAGTGTTCGGTGCCTCCCCCAAACTGCAGTTTTTTAGATCTCCGTGCGTCTCAAATTTCATCTGGAACGCAGCATTATTCGGATCACTGCCAAAAATGCACATTTCATTAATGTCCGGATCGTCGTAGATGCCCCAAGCCTCATCGCATAGCCGTGTACAGTCGTCACCGCTTTCCGGGGTTCTTCCGGGCTTCTTCGCACACTTTCGCCAGTCCTCCTCGCCGGGAAGACGCCAACGCAACTTACCGTCAGTCTCCGCACTCAACACTTCTACCTCCACCAATATTATTGTCGACGCGACGGTAGATCGCACGCCCGAAGCAGTAGCCCTGCAGACGGACAAGCAGCAGCAGCACAAGAGCGCAAGGACCAGCAGGTCGCACGCCACGCAGCGCCGCACAGTCACCATCATCATTCGTCGTAGAGTCGCTCGAGTGTGTGAGACAATCCACACAGTGGGGCAAGGACAACAACAACAACAACAAGAGAGAAATAAATGTGCCGCACTACAGTGACACACACACACACGGTCGTGAAGCAGCACCCAGCACCCCACACGCACACAAAAGGGGAGGGAGGAGAACAGTGTAGCCCCCAGGCTCCGGTGGATGTAACTACAGTTCCGGGAACCGGGAATGGGTGCGCGTTCCTCGTGGAGGGCACGCGCCCGCGAAGAGTTGCCGAGCCCGCAGGAGATACGCAAGCAGGAACGACGGTGTGTGGGCGTTGGGTGTGCGGCGTGTCTCACGGGAAAAGAGGAAGCAGCACAAAGGACAAGTAAAAGTCCCCACATTTGTCCAAGAGCGGAGCCACATTGCGTTGTCTGCCAGGCAAATGGCATCGGATGCCTCGCTCAGCCGCCCTGCAGCCCACGTCCATCGCGGAGAGAACACACAGCTCCTCAAGCTTCCCTCACCGGCCCTGCCGTGCCAGCGCACGCGCCTGAGTGTTGCGCGAGGGTTCCACGAGCCCAACGGTGAGTCGATGCACCGCAGTTCCCACAACAAACTGAGACACCTCGCTCCCTGCCCTTCGCGGCGGAGCCACTCCCGCACACACCACCACATCCGCCGCACCGCCGCGAATCACGGTCCTCCCACAAGACTCTCTAAATGCACAGCACGCACGCACCCTCTCCTCCCAGCAACCAAAGAGAACGCACAATCCAAACCCCCTGTGAAGAAAAAGCAAAAACGACAACCCTTTCATGACAACAAACTGAAGTGACGACAACGAGGTGCGGCCGCAGCAGCCCGCACCCTTTCCGCAACGCATGGCTCCTCTCCCTCCCCTTCCCTCGCTTCTTACCCCATAGCCGCCATGAAGAGGTCCTTCGCGGATCGCCTGCCGGAGTTCGCCGGCACCCACGATTGAAGACAATGGGCGACGTGACGGCGGAGCCGCAGTGCACTCATGTGCCGCGCAGGCGTGTCACTCGCCGTCATGATCGCTGCAACCTCCCTCGCGGCGCGGCGCCGAAGCCACCCAAAATTTCCACCCTCGCACCCGTAGGAACGCAACTGCCTCGCGAGCCTCATCAGGGACGGTGCAGGGGGAGGCGCCCGCCACAAGGCTCTATCAGCACCCCCCGCGCCACCGTCCGCCTGCGCCGCCTTCACCGCCTCGTCACACCAGCGATGCAAGGCGTCCTTCTGGAGAAGATGCTCCCGCAGTAGCGCGCCAACGCTGCCGTCCGCCTGCCGCACCGCGCGGGCATCCTCGTCCCTCACACAGCACCGCAACTCGCTGAACGCGACGTGAACCTCCAGATCTCTAGTCTCAGCGTAGTCCCTCAGTGTGTAGAGGAAGCAGCGCAGTCCCGCAATTTCCTCCGCAAAGAAATGCCACTTGCCGCGCCAACGCCCCTCCAATAAAAGACGATTGTACGCGAGTGGGTAGCGCTCCGCAATCGTCTGCTGCAGGCGCGCGGAGGACACGGAGCAGAGCAGCTCCACCGACGACCCGGCGTGACGCATTGCCATGAACTCCTGCATCACCTGCTGCGCCAGCACTTCCTCCGTCACGGCCGGTCCGTCCGCGGGAGGCAGCGTCACGAAGACTCGCACCGGCATTACACTATCGCAACTGGAAATGCGGTTTTGCCACAGAAAGAGCTTCCTCGCCATTTGCAAACAATGAAAAGGTCCAAATGGGGAGCAGAGAGGGATGAACACACAGGAAGGAGGGAGAGCGATGGCAGGGGAGAAAAGGAACACATCCGCGACGAGACTCGAACGTGCATCCCTCCCGTCCGCAGTCAAAATGCCCCGCCATTGAGCCACAAGGAAACAAGGACAGGGGAATTTAGTTTAAGTTCTCTCTTTATTCGTGGCTGCCACGCGAAGCAACAGCAGTCGGGAAAACAAGCGGGGACCAAAAGTGAACAAACAGTTACAACAGGGAAACACCCCATTCCTTCTTTTTCACATTATCTGCCAACGGTGCACGTTGTCTGCGAAATTTGGTGCGCAAGACGGAAGGGGGTGCGGCCCCCGTTCGGTGGGCAGAGCATTGAAAGCCGTGTTGCGCACTCGCGCCGCCTCATCCTCACACCCTGAGAAGAATAAAAAGGGAAGAGGAAGAAGAGACTCCTTCAAACCCTCTCCCACGCTTCTTCTCTAATGCCGTGTGGAACGAATAATGAGGACAGGAGAGTCAAGACGCACATGTGTATAAATGCACACATAAATACATGCAATGCATATATTATATATGCGGTATGCACAATTATCCCTCTTTCCTCCTCCCTATCCTCCCATGCATCATTTGTTTGTATTTCCTTACCATCCCTCTCGACCACGTTTACTCCCCTTCCAGCCTGTGTACACATATTCGGTCCATCATTTCCCCCTCCACGTTACCCTCATTCCTCCCCTCTATTGTTGTGTGATCCCTTCCTTTCCTCCGTCCTGGTGACGAATAGATGGAGAACTCA